CCTGTGAGTTTGGACCACGCTTAGTCTGGAAGGATGAGTGTCAGGGTCTCTTCTGCTGCTGTGTCATTGGTCCTCCCCCTCTCTGGTCCTCGTCATGGATGAGAGGACTTTAAACGGGGGACCTATACCTGGAAGTCCTGGTGTGCTGGCTCTAGGTCGGCAGTTCAAACCTACCAGCCACTCCTTGGAAACGCTATCTATACAGGGTCACTATGAGTCGGAACTGACTTGATGGCACTTACGAGCACCAACAATGTCTAGGTATGCATACAGTCTTCTGTAGTACAAAGCTATGGAGAAACCCCTGGTGCCACTGTGGGTTAGGCGTTGAGCTGCTGACCCCAAGGTTGGCAGTTCAGACCCACCAGCTGCTCCTTGGAAACCCTATACAAGGTCGCTGTGAGTTAGACCCAACTCTGTCGCAACCAACAACAGCCTGTGTGTCCATAAAGAATCCTGTTACACAAAGTTCCTGGCACACACTTTCATCAGCCAGGACGGGTTCATGACACCCAGAGCTTCTAGGAACAGGTGCTCAGGTGAGACGGGGTGTGAAGTGACAGCGCCCGACGGAACCGAGGGCCGTGGCTCGGGTCTCCCTGTTCTGGGGCCCCACCGGAGTGGCCCCCATTGGGCTGGCTGTTCATGGAGAGGAAGTGGAAATGTGTGCTGGCTGTCCAGCCTCAGCTTGGGACTGGCCTGCATCCCTCCCTCAGTGGCCAGGCCTGCCTAGGAATGCCCTGAGGCCACAGGGCAGAGGGCAGGGGCAAGGGCAGGAGGGCGTGGGGCTAAGAGTACCCCTCCCTTCTTGTTTGTAAAGAGCCCTGGGGTTCTAGTGCACATGGGAGGGTGGTGGGAGCCCAGGTGCCTGGCTGGAGTGCACATGACGGGGAGCCAGGTGCCTCGCCACAACACACACAGGCTGCTGTGTGCCGCGCTGCGTGTACTGCTCTGAGGGGGACCTGTGCCCTCTGGGGCCCGCTGGAGCCTCTCAGAGGCCTGGCTGCGTGTGCTCAGACGCGGCGTGTTGTTGTGTGTCCTTCTTGCTGTGTGCATGTGTGCAGGCACAGGTGTGAGAGCGCATGTACAGCCTGTGGTTGATTTTTCTGAGTGTCCCTGATGGCAGTCTGCGTTTGTTAGGTGCGTAGGGATGTGTTTGTGAGAATGAGTTAATGTGTGCATGAGTTTGCGTGCCTGTATGTGTGCATGAGGGTGTATGTGCATGAGTGTATTCTTTAGAGCCAGTGGTGTGAGTGCGCTTCAGTGCATGTGAGTGTCATGTGGGTGTGGCAGCATGTAAATGTGTGTGAGGGTGAGTGTGGCTGTGTGAGCAGGTGTGTGAGTGGGGGATGTGAGGGTGAGTGTGCACGTGTGAATGTACAGATGTGCAAGTGTGTGATTGTGTGGGGTGTGAGGGAGAGTGTGTATGTGTATGAGTGGGCAGATGTGTGAGCAGGCATGTGTGTGTGGATGTGTGAACAGGCATGTGTGTGAACGGGCTTGTGTATGAACAGGCATGTGTGGATGGATGTGTGAGTGGGCATGTGAATGTGTGTGTATGGATGTGTGAGCGGGCATGTGTGAGCAGGTGTGTGTGGATGTGTGAACGGATGCACGTGTGTGTGTGTGTGTGTGTGTGTGAATGTGCGAGTGGGTTGAGTGTGGATGTGTGAGTGTGTGTGCGAGTGTGTGGATGGATGTGTGAGCGGGCGTGTGAATGTGTGTTTGGATGTGTGAGCAGGTGTGTGTGTGTGTGTGTGTGTGTGAATGTGCGAGTGGGTTGAGTGTGGATGTGTGAGTGTGTGTGCGAGTGTGTGTGGATGGATATGTGAGCGGGCGTGTGTGTGTGTGTGAGTGTGGATGTGTGAGCCGGCATGTGTGGATGTGTGAGTGGATGTGTGAGTGTGAGCGGGTGGGTGTGCGGGAGGGAGGGTGTGGGGCTGCAGCTTGCTGGTATCGATTGTGTCGCTCACTGCTGTGTGCGGTCTCTAACCAGCCCTGGGCACGGTGTGGGCGCTCGGGACATCTGGTTCTGTTGGAGATGCTGTGTTGGGGTCCTTTGGGTGGCGCTTGCTGGGCCGGTGGGTGTGTGTGGCTGCATGGGTGTCTGTGTCCCCTGCAGAGCTGGACGGTGGTGACCTCAAGGACTGCGTGAGCAACCATAGCCTTAGCAGCAATGCCAGCCTTCCCAGCGTGCAGAGCAGCAGGCACCTGCGTGCCCGGCGTGTCGCCAGCTGGGCTGTGTCCTTTGAGCGCCTCCTCCAGGACCCCATTGGCGTGAAGTACTTTTCTGTGAGCACAGAAGACCCCTGGGCCTGCACAGGAGAGGGGCCCCTGAGTGGGAAGCGGCTGGCCCCCTCATCTCTGCTCCACCGGGTTCAGGGACTCTAGAAAGTGATGGGTGTTGGGTCAGCGGGCCAGTCTAGCCAGGTCCTGACCTCCCCTCCCACGATGCAGGTCTCTCTTCTCCAAACCCTGCTCAGGACAGGACCCCAGAGGCGGTGGCTACACCCTCTGCCCAGGATTCCCAGCAGGCGCTGGGCACGCTTTGTGTGAACTGCCCAAGAGCACAGACGTGCGTGTCAAAGCAAAGGTCTCCGAGTGGCCATTTGCAGGCCCTGCTCGGGGCTGAGTCGGGGTGGGTGGTTCGGGATTCCAGCAGCTGTGTGACCACTGGCTGGTGGTGTTTTTCCAGGATTTCCTGAGGAAGGAGTTCAGTGAGGAGAACATTTTGTTCTGGCAAGCTTGTGAATACTTCCACCATGTCCCAGCACACGACAAGAGAGAGGTACGTTCCTGGACTCCCAGGACCCAGAAAACACAGCCAGCCGGTCAGCATCCAGCCGGCTCTGACTGCAGTTTAGGAAGGGGATGCGAAAATGATTCCACGTGACTTTAAAAGTGCCATTTCCTATCCAGAATAACTTGCCTAATGTACATGTTATTTAATTTTGCCTAAACATAGTTTGTGAAAATGCCTTTCACATAGAACGCCCATCAGCAGCTGCCCTGACACTCAGATGGGCCCCATCGAGAGGGGGATGTGTGTGTGTGTATATATATGTATGTGTGTGTGTGAAGGGCAGTCGTGGGTGGGAGTGCTCCCGAGAATGTCACTCTGCAGTTGCCAGGCATGGGGCTCAGACACCAAGTACTCGGGGTGTGGGCCAGCATCCGGCAACTCTGGCCGTGGGGCAGTCTTCCCTACAATGACCTCATGCCTTCCTCCCCGCCCCAGCCCATGCCGCCTGCATCTGCTGTGTGGACTCTGATACCCCTGGTCCCTGAGCTCACGCTTCCCAAGAGCAGGCTGTCATGGTTACACATGTACACGCTCATGGCACGGAGATGCATACTGCCATGGGACCCGTCAACTGGCCGTTCAAGACAGAGCACTGTAATGCTGGCCAGCCCTTTTCTTTCTCCTTTCAAGCCAGAAGTGTCTTCTGGGTCCGTAAAAGCATTCTCCTGCGCCTGAGACAGTCGGGCACAGGGATGCACCAGTAAGACATGCAGAAGACACATGTGCACACATGCACAGGACAGGCCTGCAGCCAGCACGAGTGCTCACGCTGTGTTACCTGTCAGCTCTCCTACAGGGCCCGCGAGATCTTTAGTAAGTTCTTGTGCAGCAAAGCTACCACCCCGGTCAACATTGATAGCCAGGCCCAGCTGGCGGACGACATCCTCAACGCCCCGCACCCCGACATGTTCAAGGAGCAGCAGCTGCAGGTACAAGTCCAGGGCTGGGACGCACGGCTCAGTGTCCTGTATGGAGGCCCCGGGGAGGTGGGGGGCAGCGGGTTGAGAGGAACTGATGTACGCCCACAGGGCTGCAGGCTGGGTGGGAGGCTTTCCCAGGGATTGGAAGAAACAGCCCTTTGAACCTGCTATTGGATGCCCGGTGGGCTCTCCCCCGTGGGTTACCTGTACACAGACACGCTTACCAGTCCACTTACACATGATGATACAGTACAGGGGGGCTCCAAAAAGTGGGTGGAAAAATAGAATTTAGAGGTAATGGAAATTGCCCACAAACTCTTTGAAGCCCCTCTGTGTGTCTGGAGTTTAAAACATGTGGTGGTGGTGATGTGCCGTGGAGTCGGTTTCGACTCACAGCAACCCTGCACAGGGTTTCTAAGGCTATAAATCCTTACGGGAGCAGAAAGCCTCATCTTTCTCCTGCGGAACAGCTGGTAGTTTCAAACTGCTGACCTGTAGGTTAGCAGCCCGACTCGTAACCGCTACACTCCCAGAGCTCCATATACCTGGAGGTATTTGGAAAATGTATTCCAAAAAGCTATCCTGTGGCATTTGCAGAGATGAAGTCTGTGGCTAAGCCACATGAATAATAACAAAAATGAAAACTCAAACATTGGAGGGGGGTCACTTCCTGTGCATGCTGCCTGCATTGGGTTACACTCTGAACTGAGAAAGCCCCGGTTCTGAACCCTGCTCTTGAGACTGAAACTCAAAGGAAACACGTGAGCAGGCATGTAAGCTTGCTGGCAACATTGGTCTACTGGTGAGTGGAAGAGGGGGAAAGGCAGCAATGAAGAAATGGGCTGAGTTCAACCACAGTCCATTGACTGCCGTTGACCTGGAGATGAGAGAGAGAAGAGGAAGGGCTGGTAGTCCCAAAGTGTGGTGAGACCTTAGAGACACCTGAGCCCATGGACAAGGACATAGCTACAGAGGGCTAGAGCAGAGAGTGAAACATCCAGCTGATATGAAGTGAGGGGAGATGCACAAGAACACCCAAACTTGCAGACAGTACCCATTTGACCTAGCCTCCATGGCTTGATAATCAGAACTTGAAGAAGATTACAAAAACAACAAAAAAGTTTTTTTGATAAAGGAAACAAGGGTAAATTGCTACAATTGGATGAACCTGACCTATACTCATGGAGGAGGTGGTGATGGCTGTGTGCCGTGGAGTTGGTTCTGACTCATAGCGACCCTGTACAGGGTTTCTGAGGCTGTAAATCTTTACGGGAGCAGAACGCCTCATCTTTCTCCTGTGGAACAGCTGGTAGTTTCGAACTGCTGAACTTTCGCTGTAAATCTTTACAGGAGCAGAACGCCTCATCTTTCTCCTGTGGAACAGCTGGTAGTTTCGAACTGCTGAACTTTCGGTAGTTAACTCTAAATACCAGCAGAGAGGGAAGGAGTCTTCACATCAAGTATCAATGCTATCCCCTTTGTACACAGGGTAGAGAGGGATGGTCAACTTAGATATCGGCTACCTAAAATGAGGGGGCAATAAAGGCACGAAGTTACTGGCTTACAAGGTTTCAATGGGGAGCTTAGTTTAATAGTATGGGGTGGGGGAAGAGTCCCCACTGAATGCTTTTCATCTTGTCTAGATGGGTCTTGTGAAAAGAGATGGGATAAGATTTGTAAGATTCAATAGCGAATAATTGTTACCATGACTAATTGCGACTGTCACATTTGTAAAGGTAGAAGTTTTATATCAATAACGGGGGAATAGTTAATCTTACAGTCCAGAAACAGAGGACCCTAGGACCAGCAAGGGAGAAGAGCACAAACGGAATGCGGGACCTTATCCAGAGAAGCAGCGACACCAGAGATGGAGGCAGACAGAGATGAAGACATGGAGAGAAGGAGTAGCTGAGAACTCTAGACTCATGGGAAGAGAGGGACTGAGAGCTGGTGGCCAGGAGGCAGGCTTGCAGAATGTGCCCTTCGGTGGTTTAAATTATATATGCTGAGTGTTAAAAAACACACACACACACACAAAAAAAACCCCAGCTAAAATGAACAGAGAAATATTGTTAACTGATGGTACATGGAGGGGATTATAATCATTGTAATGAAACAAGGTGTGTGATTTGTTGACTGTAAAACTGATGATCTGCCCTGTAAACTTTCTCTCAATTCACAATAAACACATTAAACAAAAACAAAAAGGTGGAAAAAGAAAAAAAAACAAGGCCAGGTTCTGAAGGCTGGCACGCTGGTAGTCTGTGTCCACGGGCGGAGTGAGCTAGCCTCAGTCCTCCAAGTCAGCTGGCTGTAGTGATGGATGCAACAAGGGCTTTGTGGGAGAAAGAGTATTCAGACAGTGGGCACACTGAACAGTGGCCCAGGCTAGGCGGGTGTGTCCCTCTGGAATGACTGGGCTCCTGGCCCTGGAGAGGGGGGACGCACCCCCGACTCTCCCTCTTTCTTGACCCCTCAGATTTTCAACCTGATGAAGTTTGACAGCTATACGCGCTTCCTCAAGTCGCAGCTCTACCAGGAGTGCATTCTGGCCGAAGTGGAGGGCCGCTCACTGCCCGACGCGCAGCAGGTGCCCAGTAGTCCGGCCTCCAAACACAGTATGGGCTCGGACCACTCCAACGTCTCCACACCCAAGAAGGTGCCTGCTAGCCCCAAGTGACATGGATGGTGGGGGGTGCAGGAGCCTCATGGGAAGTGAAAATAAACTCCCACATCTGCTCGTACTCCCCCTGGACTGACGGGTCAACCTGAGACCCTGACCTTCAAGACAGACCTAATGCTGAGACTCAGCCATGGTGGGAGGGGCCTAGCCTACTGTCCCTGTCTCTTGAAGGATCTCGATGGTGGTTGTTAAGTGCTGTTGAGTAATTTCTGACTCATAACGACCCTGTATGGGGTTTCCGAAGAGCGGCTGGTGAGCTTGAACTGCCCAGCTTTGCGGTTCAAACCGACTTTGTGGTCCAGCTCATTACCCCACAGCACCACACCGGGACTGCCTGCATCCGTTTACAGAGTGTCCTTGCTGTGACTCCAGGTAACGTTACATTACATTAACCGAGTGTTTCCTTTGATGGCAGCTAAGTGGAAAGTCAAAATCTGGAAGATCCCTGAATGAAGACTTGGAGGAGGAGGACAGTGAGAAGAAGCGCAAGGGGGCGTTTTTCTCCTGGTCAAGAAACCGGAGCACAGGGCGCTCCCAGAAGAAGAAGGACCATCCCCAGGGTGGGTGCTTGGCGTCACCTATGGCTTTGGTGTGCACATGGGCATCTGGCGGGGGCAGGCTTTGTGAGGAAACATGGCCAGCCAGAGTGCGGGGTGGGGGTGGGGGAGTGGTGGGGGGAAACCCTGTCAGTGGCAGCAAAGCAGATGAGCTCGAGGGGTGTCTTGTCGCACGTGCGGGTGGCCGGCTCCTCATTGGCTGAAGAATGTGTGAGTGTCTCTGAGAAGCCCGTGGCCAGGCTGGCCCTGTGAGTGGAGATATGCAGGTCCCTGTAAGCATGAAGGGGGTCTTAGGTGTTGCAAATGGTTAAGTGCTCGACCACTAGCGAAAGGTTGGTGGTTTGAACCCACCCCAGGTGCCTTCTGAAGGTCGCCGCCTCACACCCACTGCACGGGGGGCCACCATTCAGTGGCAATGGGCCTGGAAGGAAGGCGCTTATTTTCTAGAGATTTACAAGAAGGGGATCGCTGTTCAGGAAGGAGTGGTCCCACGTTTTGCAGGGCAGTGACCCCAGCGTTGTCATGCCAACAGCCCCATGGTTGTGGCCCGCACCAGTCATGGCGCAGAGCACAGAGCTCCTGAGCGCTCACAGGACCAGGCTGAGAGAGACAGAGAGAGGAGAGGAGGCACGGAGCTCCCCAGGACCCGGGAGATGGACCCCTGTCACCTGCACAGTTCCTCTGTCCACTCAAGTTGGACCCCAAGACCAGGGTGTCAAGCACCTGGGAGAAGGGGGTATCAATCACCCACAGTTCCTTCGTCCACTTGAGTGGAACCCCGAGTACTTGGGAGATGGGTACCAGTCACCCACAGCTCCTTTATCCACTCGAGCGGAACCCCAAGGCCAGGGTCCCTAGACCCAGGAGAACTTTAAGGAGTTGCCTGGAAGGGGTGATTCCAGGATGCCCCCTGTCCCTGGAAACTTGACTCCGTATTGGCCTGCATGGACGCTAGGAATGAAGGTTGGGGGTCCTTGGAGCTGTTGTCCTAACACCCCTGGAGTCCCCCCAGATCCTGTGCAGATGTGACTTGGAAGTGATCTGTGTTTTACAAGTTGTTCCTCTCTCCGTGTTTTCACGTCAAGTCCGTGGTGACTGGCAGCCCAAGTGCCGCCTGGCATTCCTAAAGACCTCCTGCCGTCCCCGGGGAGTGTTCACTGCTACCACAGGGTGGCTCTCACTGGGCGGCCTGAGGGCCACAAGGACCTGGACTTTAGCTTCCATGGGGGGATGATGCGTTTGACTCTCTCAGTGAGGAGGGGCTCTGGATTGGTCTTTGGTCCTCTATTGTTGTGATGTGCCGTGGAGTCGGTTCCAACTCAGCGACCCTGTACAGGGTTTCTGAGGCTGTAAACCTTTACGGGAGCAGAAAGCCTCATCTTTCTCCTGCGGAACTGCTGGTAGTTTCAAACTGCTGACAGTGAGATTAACAGCCTCTATAGATACTGTTTATCCTAACGAGGGGGTTTGGGAAGACCAGATGATGGAGTGTCCATGTGAAGTGTTGCCCCTTGACTCCTGTGCACCCCGTTTCCCCGAACAGAGCCTCTTCATGCCAATGGAGGCCTGTGCCGCACAGAGTCCCAGGGCTCAGCGTCCTCCACAGGGAGCCTGGACCTGGTAAGTGCCATCCCTCCCACACCAGGCCATGTCCACGGGGCAAGGGTGTGGCGTGGCCGTGACATGGCCAAAGGGGTGTGAGCTCATACATGTGTAGACTTGTGCTCATGCATGTGTAGACGTGCACATCTGTATGTAGGCACATGTGCTCATACATGTGTAGGAATGTGTTGACCCATGGGTTGGTATGTGGTCACCCATGTAGACATGCTTATCTATGTTTATACATGTGTTTGTACATGTGTAGACATGTGCTCATCCTCGTGTGGACATACGTGAGCTCATCTATCTGTAGACTGCATCCTGTGCAGCCACGTGTGCTCATCCATGTGCGTGCTCATTGGCATGTAGATATATGTACTCATGTGTGTGGACTTGTGTGCTCATGCATGTATAGGCATGTTAGTCCTTGTGTTGTTGTTGTTGTTGTTATGTGCCGTCGAGTCGGTTCCGACCCATAGCGACCCTGTACAGGGTTTCCGAGGGTGTAAATCCTTACGGGAGTAGATGTGCTTATCTGTGTTTAGGCGTGTGTTCATACATGTGTAGACACATGCTCATCCTTGTGTGGATGTGTGTGTTCATCTATGTGTAGACTGTGTGCTCACCCATGTTCAGCCACGTGTGCTCATACATGTGTAGACTTGTGCTGATACATGCGTGTGTTGATATCTGTGTAGACTGCTCATTCGTGAGCAAGCACATGTTGTATCTGTGTGTACCTGTGTGGGTGGTGTGGGGCTGAGCCTGACTGTGCTGTCTTCCGCCCCCAGGCAGAGGCCTGCAGGGCCCCGGCACCAGAGCAGGAGAAGGCCAAGCACTGCCGTGTCCACCTCCCCGATGGCACGGCTTGCATGGTGCCCGTCAGGGCGGGCGCCTCCATTAAAGAGGCCCTGGCTGGGCTCTGTGAACGGCAGGGCATCAATGGTGCAGCTGTGGATCTCTTCCTGGTCGGCGGGGACAAGGTACATGCGCCCACCCACACCTCTCCTCCTAGCATCACCTCCTGCCCCTGTGATCTTGTTACAAAGGAGACCTGCTGTCCTCACTCCCCGGCCCGGCCTGCGCGGCCGGCTCGGCTGGGTCTGTGTGCAGGCAGCCCTTTGTCTGGGCAGCTGTGCGCCCGCCCGCACACATTGTTCCGAGCGTGCCTGTGCTCGCTGGCTCCTGCCCACGAGGCCTGTCCTTTGTCCCTTCCAGCCTCTGGTGCTGCAGCAGGACAGCAGCATTTTGGAGTCCCGGGACCTACGGCTGGAGAAACGCACTGTCTTTCGGTGAGAGACCACCCGGGCTGCGCAACCCTGCCTGCTCCCTTACCCATACCAAGTAGACATCAGTGGGTACTCGATGGGTTAGTGGGAGGGTGTCAGCAGCCCCCACCTCCCACCAGGAACTTTCCTTGCTGACCCTAACAGGGAGTCCCATGTCCTGTGGCCACCTCATTGAGCAACGCCCCCATTCCAGGCCCTGGGATGCTGAGGGGGGTCTTGTGCCTTATTGGGAACATTAGGAAAGCCGTGCCCAGATTCTTGGTACCTGGAAGGAGGTCTTTGATATTGGTGGCTGGATGTGGGTGAAGATGCTGAGAGTCCAGAGCCATTGAGGGACCGGAACTGTCACGTGTATTTGCAATAAATGCTCACTCTCCCCCCAATCCCCCACAGGCTGGACCTGGTCCCCATTAACCGGTCAGTGGGACTTAAGGCCAAGCCCACCAAGCCAGTCACAGAGGTACTGCGGCCCGTGGTGGCCAAGTATGGCCTGGACCTTCGAGACCTCGCCGTGCGGCTAGTGAGTGTCCCCTGCCCCCCATGCTGAGTCTGTGCCCACTCCCTGGTGGACACCCGTGTCTGCTCAGGACTTTGTGATGCCCCATCTTGGTGACCTGTGCTCTCCTTACAGAGAAATGCCTGCTGGACATGGGAGGGGCAGACAGGAAGCGTGTCCAGTGTGGTCTGCGGCCTCTGTGGTCCCACTCCTCCATCCCTTCCAATGGAGGCGAGACTAGTCACATGGGCCTTGGTCTTCCTAAATAGGGTCTCGGGTTGGCGTTTGCGGTGAAGGACCTTGGGTTGATGTTTGAGGTGAAGGGTCT